GCGGGCCCAGCTTCGCCCCGCCTCCCGCCCGGGGCCGCTGCGGCGAGCGCCGGGCCCTCCTCATGAATATTAACGAGCCCCCAAGTAAACAGAGGCCGCCATTGGTTGGGGGGCGACGTCACCGCCGCGCTCCGCCTCATAAGCTGTGCGGGGAGGCCGCTACTGGCCGCCTTGCGGGCGCGCCCGGGCCCGGAGCCGTCGGTGCCGCTGAGGAGGCGCGATCCCCCTTCGAGCGGGCTGTGTGCGGGAAGGTGACACCCCACAGCCTCCGAAAATAGGGGAAGAGGGAGGTGGAAGAGGACCCTGCGCTCCCGAAGCGGCGCTGTTAGCAAGGCGGGTAGTGGCCTTAGCTTTGGTTTCCTCTTGGCTGTGTGTGAGCAGGCATACTGTCAGCTGAAGCAACGCACCTCCCAGAAGAGGCACCCAAATGCTGGTTCCTCGGGAGTGTTTCTGAAGTACTGTGACTCATTGGATCACTCTTCATTTTCTGCCAAAATACGTGGGTAAGGGACAGTAAATAATATTATCCAATAAAATTCTTAGTGCCAGGTATAAAACTGTTGTCTAAGTTATCATTTGGAAAATCCAAACACCTAAAGGCAAGTAAATTAGTAGCTAAGCTCTTTGTGAATGTCCACATAATAAACACAAAATTCTTCCAAAAGAGGAGGAGCCATTTTATAATAACACAATGATTTCTAATATCTTTAACAAAACAAGCATGCGTTTTGAAGCAGTCATTTCTTAAAACAAAAACACTTCTGAGAAGGCGAGCTGATGCAGAAGACACAAATAAGATAGAAGCGTAATGTGAAATTTTTCAAGAGTGGTAAGAGTTGAGGAGGATGTTTGGTGGGTGAAGGCTTAGGGAAATGCGAGGTGTGGATATGCTGGAGGAAAAAGTGGTTACATTGAATTAAAACAAGTAAAATTAGGAGAATGATTTTGCAGCTGGTATTCTGCATTGCTACTCTACACAGCATGTAGTTGAAACTAGTGAACAAATGAGTGAGCAGTGCTCCAGAAGCCTGTAGTATACATAGATAAGGCATGTTACATAAGGCATGTTAAACTTAACATTCAAAAAGTGAGAAAGAATTGTGTAGCTTCGCACAAGATGTCAGACAGGAAAGAGTAAATATATTCAGATTAGTTAAAACAGATAAATTATTTTGAGAGTACTGCAAAACCCTACTGGTGATTTAATTAAATACTGCATGAAAGATGAAGGTTCATATGCCAAATACTTAGTTTGAGGTCATGAGTCTAAATTTTTTCCAATTCCATTAGTAGCTTACGAGGGAACAGAAGATGGGTTTTCTGCAGGCCATGTGATGCCATCCAGTGAGCGCATGTCCCAGTGAACTCAAAAGAAGATTAAATACCAGACAAAGACTCTGCTTTATTCTGTCTCTGTATAGGTGAACTCCAAATCTGGGAGCACAATTAATGGGCACTTATGGCTTGCACTGTGGCAAATGAAAAACTGTAATGTGATGATTTTTATGAACACTTATTGAATAGTAAGAATAAGTAGAGCTATTGAAACATTTCATTTACATTATTCGATACTTTGTCATTTAAGAAAAAGATACATTTTTATAGAAACTCTAGATGTTCCATTGAAACATTTAAAAGGCCTGAACTGAAATATTTTTCATTTTTACTTGGTGTCTGAAGCATTCTGATTTTGCATCCTTTCTTGAGACCTGTCTCTAACACTACTTTTTCTTCTATTCTCCTTGCTAGGCTGGACTGCATATCCCATAATGTTTGATGGATATGGAATGCTACAGTGCATTTCCCCTTTTATCCATCAGTGAGAGGTAAGTGCGGAGAGGAAATGCCACCGGAGATCACACTTGAGAGCCCAGAGCATAAATTAAAGCATCCAAATTTCATGAGGTCCCATTTTCAAAAGATCTTACTTATCTGAGTCTTTGTAAGATTCTTCCATAATTTTATTGCAAAACCTGAGTAACTCTTCTACTGAATACTCTGTCATTTTTACCTCTTGATTCTTTAGAAATAAATTTTTTTTAAAATGTTCTACTGGATTTTGGACTTACTTTTTCTGTCTGCTCAGTGCAACTAAGGTGTGTAATAGGACTCAACAAAGTTGCAATAAGGAGAAAAAGTGTGACAAATTAAGCCCTCATTTCTATGTTTTCTAGCTCTGAATTTTTCTTGGGATACCAATCACATAGCATGTGCGGCACTTTTTCTCTTGTAGTCTTTGGACAGAAAACATCCTTGCTTAAATTTTGTCAATGGCTTTCTGTGTAGAAAAGAACAATAGAAATACTTCCCTACCTTTCCTGATCCAGCTTTTTTTTTTTTCCCTAGGTCTTTTATTGGAGCTTAAAGTGGGATAATGTATTTTGCCCATGCAGCAGAATTTCTGCTGCTATTTTTCAATTAGGTTTCTAAAAATTGCATTTGCCTTTCTATTTGGAACTACCATGTTGGATTATTGCTCTTACTATTAGAGCTATAATGACTCTCTATTTTTCTAATATTTATATGATTGCATTACTCAAGTTTAAAATACGCAGGAAATGAGATATTAACTCCACATTTGAAACAGATTTAGTGTAGTCATGGCCTTGTTTACCCTTTAGTGTTCTTTAAACAGGCACTTGCTATCTTTTGCCAGTGCCAAGGTTAACCCTCATAAAACAATTGAAAACAATCCCCTGTGAAATATTTGCACTAAGCAATCTGTTTTAAGATATTTAACATTCTTTGATGATCTGTTTATCTGATGCATTATTCCCTTTCCTGACCAAACTCACAGAAATATATTTTCTCTCTTCAAGAAATGTGAAAACAAGGTTTATTTACTTGGGAGTTTTTATTCTTAACCATTTTAATTCACTTTTTATTAAATTCTTCTGCTGTGGAATAAAATTATTTATTGAAATTATGTTGTAATGGATATATGTATTACATGCTCATGTGGAGAGAGGGAAATTTGTATCCCAGGAGGACTCAAAAAGTAGGTAGGATCCTTCAGTTTCTGACAAATTCCTCAAGTTGGTGTGAATGGAAAAAGAAACCAAACAAAAAAACCCTTTCATGTTGATGAGTGGAGAACTGAGGTTGAGGAACAGAAGAGAGTGACACAGAGCTCACCTAAGGGCCTGGCTCAGGGAATTCCATGTGAATAAAGCATGCTGTGTATGGGCTCTGCTGCTCCTGAGAGCCAGAGGCCAGTGACACGTTGAAGGCCTCATGAAGCACAACTTGCTGTTATCAACTTGCTGGCCCTGAGGTGCTGAGTAGTGAGCTGGAATAAACCAACTTCCCATTAGGGAACCCTCCCATCTGAACTTCTGTAATGTCCTCCTCTCATGGATGACGTTAGAGAAGGAGGCTGTGACTAAAGTTTCCACTGCTTTCAGCAGCAATATTATTAGGAATATTATTTCTGATGTATTCATTCTTCATCTGAATATAACAGATTTTAATTTCAGTCAGTCATGTATAGCATTTCTGGGCCCAGAGTTGTTGTTCTTTTCACTATAACATACATAGCACAGAGCAGGCACGTCCAAAGGTATTCCCCAGCACCTTTCTTAGCTACTTGCCTCCTCCAACTACTCTTTAAATCAGCTAGGCAAAGCAAAATGCATCTTGTAGAGAGAGTATGTATGAGTGAGAACTAAGATGGGCTTGAAGGTTCGTACCTGTTCAAATCTATTTTCACTGCCTCGTTGGTGAAAATAACAGAGAATTTGTCATCTTGGACAGCCTTTGTGCAAGTTAGGAATGGATTTTTCAACCTGGTGAGTTTCCAGTGGTCCCTTGAGCAGATGGGATCTCTTCATGTTTATCACCTGCATGTTTGACAGCTATCTGTTTTAGTGTCAATTCATTTCCAGTGAATAGTAGTGAGCTGTGAAGAATTGCAAAGCACAAGGTAAGGATTACAAAATAGATTAATTACAAGAAAATGAAAGACAAGAATTATTTCAAGAGTTTTCCACTGAGGTTTTTTTGAGCAGTAGGCATGTTTTCATCAACCACAAAGGATTAATCAGTTTTGTATCAGAACTTAAATTTTGAGTAATTCCTTTGTGGAGGAAGGGTAAAGAGGAAGGGTAAGCTAAGTGTAAACTTGGAGCCTTTAGAGTGTGATCAAAGAGAAGAGAGAGTTGCAGGAGACTGTTTAGCAAGTAAGGTTTCAGACTGTAGATGGTTCTGTGTGGTAAAATACTAAAGAGCAGAAGTTAGTTAAGACCCTAATGAGGAAGCTGGTAGGGGAAACAAAAGTGGGAATGGCTAAAGGTACCTGGTACTGCAAGGTCAGGTGCAGCTCAGATGAGGCCTTGTTATAAGTACACTAAGCCTGAGGACTTGGCAGTGGCAAAGTGTGAGTGGGGTGTTATTCCAAGGGGGGCAGTAGTGAGCTGGTCTCTATTAACAGGTGACACAAGGAAGTCAGAAATGTGATTTTAGATGACAACTTTTGTGTTAGGAAAAGGAGTAGTGGGCAACTAAGGCTTCCTGCTTTCATATCCTTTTCTGTGTTCTATGAAGTGCGTTTTTAAAAGTTATTCGATTTAACACTT